CCCCCCCTCATACCACCATCACCATACACACACACCCCTCACACTACCATCACCACACACACACACCCCTCACTCCACCATCACCACACACACACACACACACTCTCTCTCTCTCTCACTCACTCACTCAGAGGCACACACAGTTCCAGCCTCTTCACTTAAAAGAAACTATTTTAAATTATGTGTATGCATGCGCATCTGTGTGTGGGTATGTGCACTTGAGTAGAAGAGCCTTGGGAGACTAGAAGCATTGGATCCCCTGGGGCTGGGACTACAGGAGGTATGAACCTCCAGATGGGGGTGCTGGGAATTGAACCTGGGTCTTCTGGCAGAACAGTAAGTGCTCTTAACTGTTGAACCATCTCTCCAGTCCCATCACCTTTTTTGTTGTTGTTGTTGTTTTCAAATGACTGATATTGTCAGCTTGGCTAAATTTGGCCTTTTGGGTGGAATGCAGTCATTTTCTAGTAGCGTCTTCCCCAGTGACTGAGGATATTAAGATATTTTCCATCCATTTATAACTCATTTGCTTATCATCTCCTGGGGGTGCCCCTTCAAGTTTCTTGCTCATTTTTGTTACTATGTTCCATTTTTTTATTTCATATAAAAATTACTAATATATTGGGATGTAAGCCCTTTGTCAGTACCCCATATGTATATGAGTATTTGTTCTGGCATTTTTCCCCCTGGGGAGGGATTTTCTCTCCCCATACCAATAACAGCATTTTTTTTAGAAAGAATTACCACATCATATAATGCATCTACTTACAGGAGGCACATGCCTGAAGTCCCAGCACTTGGGAAGCTAAGGCAAGAGAACAAGTTCAAGGTCACCAGCCTAGGCTATATAATGAGTTTGAGGCCAGCCTGAAGTATGTAATGAGTCTTTCTCAAAAACTGTGTCTAATATGATGCCCTTAGTACATGCCTAGCGCTGTGTAACCTCTACCCCATTGGTATTAGAATCTTTCCACCATCCCCACAAACTGATGTCCATTAGACACCATTTCCTGCTCTTCTCTACCCCTAGCCCTTAAAACCACTAACCTTTCTGTCTTCATGGATTTGCCTGTTTCTGACATTTCACATAAGCAGAGTGACACAAGATGTGGTCTTTTTCTGAGTGACTTTTACTTAGCAGCATAAAGTCTTCAAGACAGAACTACATGACATTATATACCTGTACTTCATTGTTTTCAATGCCTTCCACTGTAAGGACATAGGGGATTCTTTCATCAGTGGGTGGATGATGGGGTTGGTTTTACTTTCTGGCTATTAGGAATAATGCTGCCATGAAGATTCATGTGTGAGTCTCTGCTACTTTACAGTACCACCTACGGTGAGGGTTCTGATTTCCCCACATCCTCATTGGCTCTTTTCACTACTTGTCTTTCTTACAGTATCTTCCTTAGCAGATGTGAATGGGTACCTCACTGTGGATCTCATTTCCCTCTTCCAGGTGACTAATGATGCTTTGCATCATTTCAAGCATGTAGTAGCCATCTTTATAGGAGAAATGTCTGTTCTGATCTTTTGACCATTCTCAAAATCAGGCTTGCTCTTTAATGTTCAATGTTAGTTTTATAAGTCAAACTTATTGGCAACAAGTTATAAATTTATTCTAACCAATTTTATTTTCCAGTGCTGGGTACCAAACCCAAGGCTTCATGTCCTTCTGCTCGGCAGCATCCCGAGCTACCCTTTTAGTGGCTGTAGGATCTGTAGTGATAACCCTCTTTTCTGTTTTTAATACTTACTGGGAAACTATGTGTTCTTTTAATTTTCCAGTGTGGTTATTAGTTCTTTGATACACATTTCAAATATTGGAAGATTTCCTGGAGAAAATGATTCATTGCTCCAGCTAGTGACTTCCTCTGTGGTTATAGAAAATGCTATATGACTTCAATCCTTTGGAATTTATTAACATTTGCTTTATGGCCCAACCTGAGGTCAATTTCAGAAAATATTCCATGTGTACTTGAAAAAGGAAGAATTCTACAGAGGTTGGATGTGGTATTACCATGGGCTTTTATTAGCAGATGAGTGAATGTTGGCTTTGTGTGTGAGAGAGACAGTTAAAGAGCTTAGCTGTTTCTTGGCTGACTTGAGAATTATTCAACCTCAGCAAAGCTCTTCTTTAATAAGCTGTTGTGAAGAATATCCCGACTATAAAACATTGCCCCTCAGAGTGAAAAGCAGAAAGGCATGTTTGTTTCCTTTCCTGTGTGTGCATGTTGTATGCATGTGTGTGCATGTGTAGGTATACATCATAAGTGTGTGTGAGTGTGTGTATGTGTGAGTGTGTGTGTGTGTGTGTGTGAGTGTGTGTGTGTGTGTGTAGCCCAGAAGAGGACCCTCCACCACTCTGTCTCGTGCATTGAGACAAAGTCTCTCCCTAATCCTGGAGCATTTTTGTAGGCTGGTAGCTAGCAAGCCCTAAGGTTCCTCCAGTCCCTATGCCCTTCTTCCCTATGTTAGAGTTACAGGTGTGATGCTACTCTTACCTTTAACAGATTATATGTATGCGCCTTGAGCATATGTATATGTCCTACCTGTGTGCAGATGCCCAGAGGCCAGAAGAGGACATTGGATTCCGAAAACTAGAGTTACAAGTGGTTGTGAGTCTCCTGATGTGGGTGCTAGGAACTGAACCCAGGTCATCTTCAACAGCAGCAAGTGCTTTTTAACCATTTAGCCATCTCTCCAGCCACTGAGGTTTTTTTATTATATGAATGCTAGAGATTCGAACCCAAGTCCTTAGTGTTTGTGCAGGAAATTCTCTTACCTACTGAGGCATCTCCCCAGCCCCATGTTTGCCTCCTTTTATGTTAAGAATGCAGACATGCACAATGATCTTACTAAGATTAGCACAGGATGAAAAGATCAGGCTTGTTTCTCCAATCTGAATTGGAAAAAGGTCTTACTGTGCAGCCCAGGCTGGCCTTGAACATCCAGTCTCCCTCCTCAGCCCCTCTAGAGCTGAATTACAAGTATTCATTATAATACTTAGCTTAACCCAGCCTTTTAGAAGAAATACACATTATTGAAAACGTTTCTCACATACAATTCAAAATATTTAAACACCAGATGAAATTTAAAATTAGCCAACTACTTCACAGCATTTTATATAAAGAGAACACTTCATTAGAAAAATGTCAATCTTTGTATCTCATGCAGATTTTGGGAACCAAATGTTTAGTGTCAAAAAACGTTAACTCCTATAAGCTTTACCATAGATCTTTACTCCCTGTCTAATCTGTTTCCAACAGTACAGGAAGACGCCTCTTCTCATAGATGGCAACAATGATCAGGAGGTAGACAGCTAACAGGAAGGAGGGCAATAGTTGAGATAATAGAATTTAGAAATAGAATTGATTTAGGGAGGCCATGTTCAGGTGCCAATACTGAGTGACAGGGCTGATTGCTGTGTCAAATCTAGTATCGTGTCACTATTTGGGGGAAAAAATCCATGAAAGAGTATATGGGGGACATGGTAGGAAATAGCTATTGACTTAAACCCCACTACTGTCATGTTGTAGCCCACTAAGAAATTCCACCCGGATAGACGAAGAGTCCAGAAGGCTGTCTGCTGGATCATTTCCTTCAACACAGGAAACTGCCATTAAGCTTCTTTTTCAAAGGAAGGCTGGAGCAACCATGACAAATGTGACAAGTCACCCAAACAGCTGTCTGGTAGCTACAAGCACAAGGTCCAAAATAAAAGACACAGCCGAAAATTATATTCTGCCCATAAATTAAGTTAGGCAGACTGTGAGTGTAGTTTGTCTAATAGGGGAATCAGAAAAATGAAGGATTAAAAAAATCAAACAGATCCTGTGACATGTGGCATATAATTGCTTATGCTTTATAGACAAAAACCCTCCTGAATGTTAGAAGTTATAGGAACAAAATCATAAAGCATAGGGCTAGTGAGATAGCTCAGCAGATAAAGACACTTGTCACATACACCTAAAGACTTAAGTTCAATGCCCAGAACCCCATGGTGGAGGGAGAGCCAACTGCTTACTGTTATCCTCTTGACCTCCACATGCGTGATGTGGTATGCGGTATGCACAAACCACACACACAGACACACACACACAGACACACACACACAGACAGACACACACACACACACGCACACACACACACACACACACAAAGAATGTAAGAATGCATTACACACCTGCACAGCACAGATGAAAAAACTTTTTGAAGCACAAATGGAAAGTAAATGGATCATTTGTTGACACATACCACTGATGAACACTGCCTACTTCAGTCACAGTTTTCACTCCCTACCCTGTCATAAATACATACTACTCACTGTCACAGACTAAGTGACACACATTTCCTGCTCAGTCCTGTCAGCAAGGAAGAAATGTGCTCCTCGTTTAGGCAAGCCATAGAAAAACAGTTTCCATGGGCCAACAGCTCTGTCTCACTTGCTTTTTCAGCAGGCTGCCTGGTTCTGCAGAGAAATGCCCTCCTTAGGAGACTGAATGTTTTGTGGATGAAATGGCAATGACATCTCTCAGAAGTCTGGGCAGGGGCAGACGGATTAGATGCACTGGCAGACATTAACAAGTGCACACAGGCGAAAGAACCTTGGATGTCTATTACATCCAAAAATTTTTTGAGAAAAAATTGACATTGGGTTTTTTTTTTTCAAAATAAAAACTTAGGAAGGAAAGTTCCCATTAAAAACCCAAGAGTGTCAAGGTAGACACGTTGCTACAGTGAGGGAACTGACTGCACATGCAAACTCTACAGTATTGCAGCTTCTTGGCAGCCCGTCCTCTGACACTCAGTTCAAAGGCAGAGGGTGCTAGCATCTGACATTACTAGCTATGAGTATTGAGTCTGTTGGTGTAAAAAGGACCGTAAGAAATAGGAGTAGCAACAATTAACTAAAAGACTAATAGTTTGTCTTAATTGTGCATGAGCCATGTGTGGGTGTAGGTCTTAATTCTTACTTAAACCCTGTGTCTCAAAAACAGGTTCTTCAATTTGGGGACATGCTTGGACCATAAATACCCCACAACAATACCTGACCAGAGGAGAGAAAGGTAATGCAGTTTTCCATGATGTGAGTCTGGTAGAACTGTGACAACCATGTTGCACTATTTGCTGGTGGTAATGGTTAAGGGAGTTCACTGAGTCACAGCACCCTCCGGTAGTGTGGCCTTGAATGTTTCTACGTGAAAGAGTTTGTCCCCAATGCCTATGTGATGTTAATCAAAATTCAAACATACAACAGTTGTACACTTTGAGATGAAGGGAAATAATGATGGAGACTGGAAAGAGATGCCATTAGGCACCCACACAGGCCTTTGTGTCTTTCATGTATTTGAAGCTGTGTTGTATGTTTGCTCCATGTAGCTCATCCTTACAGCTGTTTACCACCAAGGCAAAGATGACCTAACTCCCTTTCTGCACTGACTTGACAGGTTAGCCACCATCCCAGCTTCATGAACTCAATGGACTACTTCTCTGAAAAATTTATATGTAATCCAATATCCAGAAGTTTTAATATGTCCAGCTTGTCCAACAACAGAGAACATTCTAGGAAGATAATAAAGTTAAAAAATGGAGTCTGTTTACATGACGGATTAACATTTCTATAAGAGGAAGATTAAGACCATTTAGCGTTAGAAATAACTTTTATTTCCAGTGCACTTGGAGGCGTATTAGGTTTAGTGTCCCTGACAACACTAAGACAGTACCCTGGCGTCTCTGTTATCTTGTGTTATGTCTTGACAACACAAGGTCTTTGAGGATGGCCAGAACATTATCTTCTCCCTCTTTAGATCCAACACTACTAAATAATGCAATAATTGATTTCTCACTGACAGTTGCAGTGAGTAAGAACTGGCCACCTCTAATCAGGGCTTGTTAAGGTTGTTTAAATTTTCAAACTGGAAATCCTGGAAGTCTAGAAGGACGAGGAATGTCAGTGGCTTCTCAGAATAGTATTTGCTTCTTCACAGTCATAGAGAAATTAGCATTGCATACATTATGAACACTACAGAGCACTCGTGGCTTGTTCACACGTGGCCTAACCCCTCCCACTAATTCACCTTGAAGGCCATGAAAACCTGAAGAACCACAGAAAAGAACAGTGGCTCAGAGGAACTTTTTGTTCCAAGTCACATTTTGCAAATCCATCACAGCCAGAGCACCGGAGTAATTACAAGCAGCCGCTGCCTTCCACACCCCCTATTATTTTCCCATTGTCTAATTCCATTCCAAGGGGAGAAACTGAACACTTGTCAACTTTGCATATTTTCAAACAGCCTGTTTCCATTTTACAAATTCTAAAAGAATAATGCAAGTCAAAAATATTCTCCACATATGGAGGTTAGTCAGTACCAGATTTCATTTTGTTAAGGTGTTGCAGTACATGCCAGGCTACCCATTAAATGTTCATTTTCTTTGGGACAAAAATCTGAGCCCCCTGGGTCACTGAAATCCATTAAAGTTTCTACTAATGTATCATTATCACTTTAGCAATATGAAATATTTCCAGCTCTTACTGATACCTGTTGATCTATATGTCTTTTGAAAACAGAAACAGCTTTGTATTCCTCTAATGATCATTTAGTCACCATTTAATAACACTCATATTCAAAACACTAATAATTCTATACTCAAAGAGGGGTTGCTACAAGCAAAGTTTAAGGACTGTTTCCTGTAGCAAGCTGACACACTTCGGATTCTAATAAGAGTGTGGTAAGAAGCTGGGCCTGGTGGTGCATGCTGAGACATAGCACTTGGATATAGCATAGGACCTTGCAAGCTCAAGGTCCACCCATGTTATGGGCTGAGCTCAAGGCCAGCCTGGGCAACATAGTCACTGGAAGGGGAGGCTTTAGAATACAGCTCAGCGGTGTCTAACATAAACAAGGCTCCAGATTCAACCTCTAGAACTAGACAAAAGAAAGGAAAAGGAGGGTGGGGGTTGGCAAGTTCAATAAAATCAGACTGGTACTCTGTAAGCAAAGGATGCACATGGTGTAATTGTGTAGGGCTAAAGTGTCAACAGTTCCGGACACAAAGGGAAGAAACAGGAGAGTCTACTCCCTCACCCCAGAGGAAGCTAAGCCACAGCACTTACTCTGCCTGGAATGGCTATCTAACAGGCATGTGCCGTGAATAGAGGCCCTGTGTTTGATGCAGCAGGAATTATGGAATGAGCAGCAGAAGTAGCCAGAGACTATTCTCAAGGACACTACAGTGTTTTTAAGATGTGCAACAGGGGAGGAATAAGACAACATTGACCTTATTAAGTAACAATAAGTAATTATAAAGTCACCAGTAATGAAATAGAAAAAGATGTATCAGCAGTAAGTTGGCGGCATACCACTTTTTATTAGTAATTAGGTTGTAACTATTTAAGTAATTACATTCTTCCCATTCCTCCTCACATGTATATAAGTATGCTGGTTTTCCTGGCTGCCCAAAGAGCTCTTTGGCCATTAAGTTAAGTGACCTCACTAAGTTGTAGCTTTGCTCTTGTCACTTTGTGTGAGCTGTTTAAAAACACACCAGCAAGTTACAAAGGAAGGACCTTTAGTCATTGACCCCAGGAAGCCAGAGGAAGTCCCTCTGTGCCACAGTGACCACTGTAACTAACTACCCCCATGCTATTTTTAAAGTTTTTTTTTATTGTTGTGGGACATTGTCTTCTGTACATGGTAACGGTTGTCTTGGAACCAGAGAAGTTGTTATCATTAACAAGACCCTCACAAGATCGAGCTCACTAACATTCCCTGGTGAAAGGAAGACATGGTCACAAGGGGCTCATGAGGCAGCCAGGGGACCAGGGGATATACAAGTGATGACTGCAGACAGGACACGTCCCCTCTTTGGTGTGGCAGCCAGTGAGATGCTCACACCCCTGGAACTAACCACAACTGAACTCGCTGGTTTTCCAAGCTACACTTCGCTCAATTATTTGAAAAATTATTAGGTGAAAAATAGGAGACTTGGTTATGAGTCCTGAATCATGGCATAACAGTTGCTAAAGACCTTTCTGGAGCTAAAGAAACAAAATGATTATAAAAACGTTAAGACACTGGCATGATTTTTAGCCCTGTTGGACAGTCAGGGTGTTTCTAGTCATTTATTATTAAAAATCAAGAGTCTGTACTCTTCATTTCTCCCTGCTTCAGATGATTATCATTTTTATAACAATAAAATTCATAAGCTTATAATTTATTCTACAAGTGTAATTTTCACTAAATTGTATTAGCACTCCAAAAATATATTTGCTTATCTTATTATTTATTTATTTACATTTTTTATTTTTTGAAACAGGGTTTCTCTGTATAGCTTTGGAGCCTGTCACAGAACTTGATTTATAGACCAGGCTGGCCTCGAACTTGGAGCTCTGCCTGATTACCGCCTCATGAGTGATGGGATTAAAGGCATGCATCATCAGCACCCTGCTCCTTATTTTAAAAACATCTTTAATGGGGGAGGGGGTGTTTGATGGAAAAGGAGAGGGTCAGAAAACAACAAAACAAATCTTGTTTGAAAAACCAGGATGGACCAAAATCCTTTGTGAATTAATAAATAAATGTGAAAAATATTAAGGAAAAGCAAACAAACTTAAGTCTCACTGATGAGCCCTGGAATGCAATGCCTACTTTTAGGGAAATGGGTGTATTGCCTGAGAGTCCCTGCAGGGGTCTAGCCTTCTCCTGAAGCCTGGCTGTTGCAGTATTCAGTCAGTAACACTCCTGAGCTTACACCTCAGCCTTGTGCCTCAGTTCCCCTAGGATAGGCATCTTCACCACTTTCCTGTCTTCTTCTTTTTTCTTTAGTTCAAAAGGTGTAGGGAAGAGTAAGATAGCTGTTCTCTTCCTCACACGGACTTTAGGATGAGATAATCTTTAGAGAAACAAGTCACAGACAATGGGTACTAATGCATCAGGGGACAAGACTTAGCAGCCAACATCAGCAGTGCTGAAGAGCTGCTTAGGGGAAGGCTGCTTGGGAAACACTTGTCCAGAGATCTGTCCAGTTAGCCACCATGCCAGCTCTCTGGGATTGTTTGGATTAGGCGTTCTGCAAAATGTTCTGCCATGAAAGACTTCTGTGCTGTCTTGCAGTTTACCGGTACTAGGATTAACAAGGCCAGTTCACTGACGTCCCATGAGGCAGGCCGGATACATGACTCAGTCGGTGAAATGTCTGTCAAAGTAAGCATGAGGACCTGACCTTGAACCCTAGAGGCCATGTAAAAATGCTGGAAACAACAGTGGTATATGATTGTAATCCCAGGGCTAGAAAAGTGGACATAGGTGGATCCTAAGGCTTGCAGACCAGCCAGCCTAGTCTAAACAGTGAGCTTCAGGTCAGTGAGAGATCTGTCTCCAAACAAGACATTCATGAAGAATGACATTGGTCTTGAACATATTTGTGTACATCAACATGTACACACATGTGCATCTACCTACCCATGAACATACAAGCACATATGTTGCCTTTCCTTTGCATCTGGCCCTAATTTACTGATACACATGTGTGCATTACTGCCTTTTTTCTTCCATCCTTTCATTTGGCTCCCTCAATAATTTCAGGAGGTTACATTAGTGGATAGGTTTAAAATCTTTTGAGTATAGGCATTAAAATGTCATGACATTAGTTACAATACATTTTGTGGGGTACAGAGATGAATTAGGTGTTTAAAATGTCCCTGTAACATACTAGAATAACATGCAATAGATCCACAAGGGATTATTACCATAAAGTATACAATAGTTATGTACTATTTCACAATCAAAAAAAGAATCATCAAAATACCCACAGTGTAGGAGGGACGGCATTCAAATTCACGGGGCTTATATTTCTGGCCTGGTTCCTCATTGCTTTTTACCCTTCAAGTTCCGGGTTCTGCCGTCAGTGGAGTTGTTCACAGCTCTGGAGTTGACAGCAAGTTGCAATGGATGCCATTGCTCGTGAGAAGGCACTGCCTCTCATGTTCATTTCCAAACTGGCTGCTCAGCTGCCGTTCTCTAGCTACCAGCCCACAGCTGGCCAGCCTCTTGGAATCTGTGTTCTACCGGACTCAACCCATCTTGCTAAAAGCTGTCTCATTTTAGCTTCCTATAGGGAATCTATTTGGATTCCTGCCACTCAGCTTCAATATATGAAACATGCAGGATGTTGGATAGAGACACTGGGCCACGAACTAGACTGCATTCCAAATGCTGGCAGCAGTGACCTCATTGTGCTATTTAATGTTTAGTACAGCTTGGAAATGACAGTGATGAAAGTGATCCAGGCATCAGATGTGACAGAGCATATCTTTACTCTCTAAGCCACAGATGACTCACACGTCAAGCTGCACATGCAGAATTTACTCAGGAGCTGAACGTCCCTCTCCACTAAGCTTGGATGGGACACTCACCAACAGCAATGACCTAAGCATAAGATAAGATTAATTTGCTTCTTTCTATGTATTTCTTCAACTGATTCAAACTACAACAGGAAGAAAGTTGCCAGAGAAAAAGCCCCTCATTCCTCATTGCATTTTTTAAGCTAAAAAGATTTCAAGTGCTATTTCTCACTGAGGTCCACTG